TGATTATATTAATACTGCTCACACTAGGGCTATAAACATCATCATAATACTACTCACAATAGTGGCAAAATGATTATATTAATACTGCTCACACTAGGGCTATAAACATCATCATAATACTACTCACAATAGTGATAAAATGATTATAATAATAATGCTCACACTAGGGCTATAAACATCATTATATTACTACTTACAATAGTGGTAAAATGATTATATTAATGCCACTCACACTAGGGCTATAAACATCATTATAATACTACTTACAATAGTGATAAAATGATTATATTAATAATGCTCACACTAGGGCTATAAACATCATCATAATACTAGTCACACTAGTGGTAAAATGATTATATTACTACTGCTCACACTAGGGCTATAAACATCATTATAATACTACTCACAATAGTGATAAAATGATTATATTAATAATGCTCACACTAGGGGTATAAACATCATTATAATACTACTCTCAATAGTGATAAAATGATTATATTAATAATGCTCACACTAGGGCTATAAATATCATTATAATACTACTCACAATAGTGATAAAATGATTATATTAATACTGCTCACACTAGGGCTATAAACATCATCAAAATACTACTCACAATAGTGATAAAATGATTATATTACTACTGCTCACACTAGGAGTATAAACATCATTATAATACTACTCACAATAGTGGTAAAATGATTATATTAATACTGCTCACACTAGGGCTATAACATCATTATAATACTACTCACAATAGTGGTAAAATGATTATATTAATAATGCTCACACTAGGGCTATAAACATCATTATAATACTACTCACAATAGTGATAAAATGATTATATTAATAATGCTCACACTAGAGCTATAAACATCATTGTAATACTACTCACAATAGTGGTAAAATGATTATATTAATACTGCTCACACTAGGGCTATAAACATCATTATAATACTACTCACAATAGTGGTAAAATGATTATATTACTACTGCTCACACTAGGGGCATAAACATCATTATAATACTACTCAGAATAGTGATAAAATGATTCTATTAATACTGCTCACACTAGGGCTATAACATCATTATAATACTACTCACAATAGTGATAAAATGATTATATTAATAATGCTCACACTAGGGCTATAAACATCATCATAATACTAGTCACACTAGTGGTAAAATAATTATATTACTACTGCTCACACTAGGGCTATAAACATCATTATAATACTACTCACAATAGTGATAAAATGATTATATTAATAATGCTCACACTAGGGGTATAAACATCATTATAATACTACTCTCAATAGTGATAAAATGATTATATTAATAATGCTCACACTAGGGCTATAAACATCATTATAATACTACTCACAATAGTGATAAAATGATTATATTAATACTGCTCACACTAGGGCTATAAACATCATCAAAATACTACTCACAATAGTGATAAAATGATTATATTACTACTGCTCACACTAGGAGTATAAACATCATTATAATACTACTCACAATAGTGGTAAAATGATTATATTAATACTGCTCACACTAGGGCTATAAACATCATTATAATACTACTCACAATAGTGGTAAAATGATTATATTAATAATGCTCACACTAGGGCTATAAACATCATTATAATACTACTCACAATAGTGATAAAACGATTATATTAATAATGCTCACACTAGGGCTATAAACATCATCAAAATACTACTCACAATAGTGGTAAAATGATTATATTAATAATGCTCACACTAGGGCTATAAACATCATTATAATACTACTCACAATAGTGATAAAATGATTATATTAATAATGCTCACACTAGGGCTATAAACATCATTGTAATACTACTCACAATAGTGGTAAAATGATTATATTAATACGGCTCACACTAGGGCTATAAACATCATTATAATACTCCTCACAATAGTGATAAAATGATTATATTACTACTGCTCACACTAGGGGCATAAACATCATTATAATACTACTCAGAATAGTGATAAAATGATTCTATTAATACTGCTCACACTAGGGCTTTAAACATCATTATAATACTACTCTCAATAGTGATAAAATGATTATATTAATACTGCTCACACTAGGGCTATAAACATCATTATAATACTACTCACAATAGTGATAAAATGATTATATTAATACTGCTCACACTAGGGCTATAAATATCATTGTAATACTACTCACAATAGTGATAAAATGATTATATTACTACTGCTCACACTAGGGGCATAAACATCATTATAATACTACTCAGAATAGTGATAAAATGATTATATTAATACTGCTCACACTAGGGCTATAAACTTCAATATAATACTACTCACAATAGTGGTAAAATGATTATATTAATACTGCTCACACTAGGGCTATAAACATCATTATAATACTACTCACAATAGTGGTAAAATGATTATATCAATACTGCTCACACTAGGGCTATAAATATCATTATGTTATAACTTATCACACTAAGGCTATACGCATCATTTTAATACTGCTCACACTTGGGCTAACAAGATTATATGATTATATTAAAACTCACACTAGGGCTATAAATGGTATACATGTTTAAAGCTTAATAGAATATTTTGTATTATGCCTTGTTAGATTGCCGGGTCATCTGTACATGTACCTATTTGTGAAGAAGCGTTACTCTCAGTAAAAATATAATCTCCTAATTACAGGTCACATTACATATTTCAATTTTGGCTTCAAAAGCGTTTAAACAACTAGTGAAGACTTACGTCACTGACATATTACTGATTTTAAAGAGCTTGCTTCCAATTTGATGCTATTGATTATTATTCTTAACTTGAACGTCTTGAGGGATGTTGAGATAGACTTTGGTTTTATAAGGTTATCATGATTTTAAAACTCCTCAGTTTCATCTAACTTGTCCCTTTAGAATACTTGCTCAACTCACAATACCTATATCATCCTTAATCAAAAGTTGGTTTTGTCTTTCCTTTCCTCATGTTTCTTCATGACTTAAACGTTGAGCTCAGTTTAGTTTTCTCGAGTCTTAGTGCCATATATATATATATATATATATATATATATATATATATATATATATATATATATATATATATATATATATATATATATACATACATACATATCATATGGCGAATAACAGTCGTTTAACGTCACTGGATTTAGCAAGGGATCACTTGTAGTCGCGATTGATTAAGATAACTGCAATAAAATAACAACGAACAGGGAAAACTAGTAGCTAACTAGCCTGAGAGCTTTTTGCTCATAATGAGTCTTTTCAAAGGCATATACAAAACATAGAAAAAAAACAAACAAATAAAACAGAAAAACCGTAGTGTTTGCAAAACTTTACATGGCTGTTTCTAAAGAAATCAAACATTTAAATTTATTGTGTTTCGACTAGTTTATTTGAACTTGTTGCGGATACTGAAAAATTTAAAATTTGTTTGTCTTATCTATGTTTTGTATATACCTTTGCAAAAGACTCATTTAAAGTCGAAAGCGATCAGGCTAGTTAAATATATAAATGTTTTGCACTGTTCTTTGTCAGTTTATTGCTTTTATATATATATATATATATATATATATATATATATATATATATATATATATATATATATATATATATATATATATATATATATATATATATAATTTGATACAAATATTACTATCGTACAGGTTAGAGAAATATAATTAGTACTCTACAGAGTTTCGAACCCAGGTTAAGGAGTAATATATGTATCAAATTATTAATTCTGACTACCATTATCACGCATTCTTCTATAGAATCCAGGGATAGTTTACGTGCTCAGGTTCGTTCCAAAGTAACAAAGAAAAGAGTAAAGCCAACAGGCGTTGTGATTTGGAACATAATAATTTATTTCCCTAGAAAAAAGGTAAAAAGAAATGAAAAAGGACTTTCAGTTTGTGAATATTGTCCGAAAATTATTAATGAAATCTAAAAGTATAAGTCCTACCACTAAAAAGTCCTAAATGAATCGAAGTTCGAATCCCGATGAAGTTCCAATATGGAAGGCGATGACGTCTTCTATAGCCTGTTTTGCGCTGTTGTATCAACAGTTCCTTGTTGATATTTATGAATCAAGAATAATATTATGGTTTTAAAATTCTGAATAATTTCCACTGAATGTCTTTGTCTAATAATTTTTTATAAAGAAGAAGAACACTTCCATGTCTTCCAGAGTGAATAAATTATTAAATCCAAAATATATAATTTTAAATCAACTGGCATCACCATTTAAAAAAAAAAACACCTTAAGCTCTAAAGGTGTTAAATACACCTGACTGAAAAACAGTAAGAATGAGTATTACAAATTTAAAACTAACGTACAAGTAATTAAATTACATATACGTAGCTATATATATATATATATATATATATATATATATATATATATATATATATATATATATATATATATATATATATATATATATTTCGTACTAAGTAAACTTCATAACTTTGTCTAAAATTTGGTCAGATTTAATGCACCCTAAACAACAATTATCGACATCTTCAAGTAATAGCTTACCATTTGATAACATCGAATTTTAATGGATCGTTTACTGTCGATTGCAGAAAACAACAAGCCCATCTATAGAGTCTTCAGCTTAAATAACCTATTTTTATCACTAAAAGTACACCAGCTTGAGTATTGATGCCTTTATTTGGGTAAACCAATTATATTGTATAAATATGAATTCTGGGGATTGATACTCTTCGCTTCATTTAAAGTAGTATCGTCATAATTGTAGAGTGCTCAATTTTTTAAGGGCAATAAGAATAATAATAAAAACTTTCCCAAATAATTTTCTAGGCTTTTGAGAAAAATTATATTATGCTATGTTAAAACAGAATTTCTGTCACTGTAATCTCAATGAAAATAAAGCTATAACCGCAATCATTATTGTATTTACACTCCTTGTCATCCTACCCATGACCGCTCTGGTGGCCTACTGTCTAGAGCGTCCGCCTCGGCTGCGGGATGTCCTGGGTTCTAACCCCGGCCGAGTCATACCAAAGACTTACAAACATGGTACCAATAGCTGCCTCGCTTGATGCTCAGTATTAAGAGATTAGTGTTAGAATTGGTCGACCTGGTGTCAGGGTAATGTGACTGGGTGGGACATCATTCCACATGTCTTCGGCATGATGCCCCAGTGCTAGACATCACTATTAACTGTCACACTGCAGACATCGTAGCGATATGACTGGAAAATTGTTAAAACTACGTTAAAAATCTAAATCACACACACAATCACACACATTTTACTCATGATATCTGATTATATGATAATATCTTACATGATATTAAGTGAACTTATACAACAACGGATATTAACTGGTTTGCAGGTGCTTTGGCATGCTCATTGAAACCTCTATTATTAATTGCCTGGAAATCTGTTTTCTTGCTGCTGGCGAGATATTTTCTTCATCATATCTGTGGACTTTGTTTCCTTTGATGAATGAGTTTATTAAAGTATCGTCATCCTCTTAAGGCATTCCAGTTTCAGATCCATTTGTTATTATTGCATTAATATCTTTAAAAAGTAGCATGCTCGTCCTCACTTGGATGTACCTCGACAGTCTTTGCTCAAAACTATTCAACATTCTATAAATTAGTTATATTCTTATTATAGTAAAGGGCATTTTGGGAATTTATTGTCATTTGTTTTTTAGTAAAGAGCATTTTGGGAATTTATTGTCATTTGTTTTATAACATTACTATTGTGAGATACAGTAAAGCACATCACATCAAATAGCACCCACGACGCATGCTTGGTGTTCTGTCTAACTGCTCTGAAAAAAAGAAATAAATAGATGAAAATATTCACGATGTTGTCGGAATAATGAATTATGGACATTTGGCTTTTGGAGATTTGAATGTGTGATGTCCGATACACAATATAATTTAGATCCTACTATCACTCAAATTATCCTATGAGTTGAGTCTGGAATGTCAGATGAACGGCAAAATAGGAGTGTTTTCTACATGAACCAACATATAAAACAAAACAAACACAAGCAAATATACTTACGCATCGAGTGTTTAGTAGCGACATAATCTTCCGCAATTTTCTTGAATAATACATCTAGATAAGGCGAAAAGAAAAAAAATTAGAAAATTTTATCAACAAAAAAAGACTAGCCTAATGCAACTACTTCTACTACAACTACAACAACTACTGCTACTGCTACTACTACTACTACTACTACTACTACTACTACTACTACTACTACTAATAATAATAATAATAATAATAATAATAATAATAATAATAATAATAATAATAATAATAATAATAATAATGGTGATGATTGTAAGAAGCGATTGAAGAAGAATTGTACTAAACTGTCAGTTAACAGTTCCATACTTTATTATAGCCTTCACCCTTTACTACTCTAACTATACACATGAACTAAATACATTTGAATCCTATCAGTAAACCAATGAATGAGCTCTTTATAACGTAAGAAAAAAAACTTAACAACCAAAGTTCCTGCAGTCAGATAAAGCCAAAATGTTATTTGATTTTAAATCTATGGAAACTGATATCTGTGAATTAAATTTTAAAAAATACTTAATAGTTCTAAACAAATACAATATTACAGAATGTTCTTAATGAATTCCAGTAGTCTCTAATGTCCCCATTTACCAATAGCCTCGAATGTCCTGATGGATCAAGTTAATTAAATAAACTGATAAATTAATGATGCAATCCCGAATACCTTTGAATGAATTCACAAAATTTCAAAGTAATGTATTTATTTTAGGTCAATGAGCACTTAATCGATAGTAATCGAGATGAATATTTTAAATAATTCCTCTTCAATTATATCTGATCATAACTGCAAACTCTGATCATAGAATCCCAGACAGTGATATCAAACAGGGATGAATCATTTGTTTACCAAGTATCCCATATATAAAAATCTGTACGTAGAATGATTATATGACAATAAAAAGCAAAAAAAATTATTTCGTCTGCTGATGGATGGGGTGATAGACTGATGGAATATATAAGAACTTAATTAGATGTTGACGCTTGTAGCAGAAGTAGCAGCAGTAGTAGTAATAATAGTAGTTAAAGTAGTAGCAATAGTAGTAAGTTAACTATGTTTACGATATTTTCTGCAATATACACATATTTGATCGGAGTTGTTGATATATGCTCTCATAATCCGAAATTGCGGATGTTTGTTTGTTTCAATACCAAATTTAAGTGTCTAAACTTACTATTCGTCTTAAAAGCCTGCATGTTAAGCCTTTATATTTTTTTTAAAATATTTGCTAATTAAAAATACAAGAAGATGGATAGATTACTGAAAAATATTATAAATTGTAAATATCTTGATTTTTCTGCTATTTCTGCTTTTTTTTATTAGCCAATTTTCTAGAATACTGGTTGCATTGTTGTTCCGTTTTTAACTCTAATTTTTTTAGCAATATATGTGGGATGATCCAGTAGCTATAATGATAGTCGAAGTATAAATAGTAGCAGAACTTCCAGCAGTAAAACGTGGTGGATGTAGTACTAATAATATAAATAGTGGTGGTGGTGGAAGCAGTAGTAATTTTAGCAATTGCAGAAGTGGTAGATGTAGTAATAATAATAGCAGCAGTAGAAGTGGTATAAGGGGTAACAATAGCAGTTGTTTAAGTGGTGGAAGCAATACTACTAATAGCAGTAATAGAAGTGGTGGAAGAAGTAATAATAATAGCAGTTGTAGAAGTGGTGGTAATAAAAGAGGCTGTACAATTGGTGGAAGTAGTAGTAATAATAGAAGTAGTCGAAGAGGTGGCAGTATTAGCAATATTAGCAGTCGTAAAAGTTGTGGAAGAAGTAGTAACAATAGCAGTAGCGAAGTGGTGGAAGTGGTAGTAATAATAGCAATGGTAGAAGTGGTGGAAATAAAAGCGGCTGTAGAATTAGTGGAAGTGGTGGTAACAATAGCAATAGTAAGCGGTGGAAGAAGTAGTAATAATTGTAATAGTAGTTGATGAAGTAGTAAATATAATATTAGTTGTGGTGGTGATAGTTGTAGTGACATGTGTAACGTTCTTACCTATATTTTCTCCCGTTTTACTGGATATTTTGAATATAAGAACTTTGTAAGCTGAAACATAAAATATATACAAGAAAATTACAATAGCGTATGCATAGAAATCAAACTAAAAATAGCGTTTAGGGATGCTTGACGCGATGAAACAATTTATCAGATCACATTATTATAAATTGACCTAAAAGTGTTCCATCCACTCCTCGCGTTCAGGTTTTATTTCAATATTAAATAACTGTATTTAATGTTGGTCCTACGAAATAATGGCTAAAAATTTGTAGAAATGGGAGTATATAAGTTGCACATGTACTTCGAGCAACCTACATTAAGCCCGAGTCTGGTAACAGTCTGTATAACTAATCAAGTTGTTGTTCTTGTTATGAGGTTTAACGCCATTGTTCAGTACAAAATAGATTATACATGTGAGCCAATATAAATGGTATAGAAACATTTGGATTTGGATTTTTAACCTAGCTTTAACTTTTTTCAGTCCGTGACAGTGTGGTAGTTTATAGTAGGTAGGTCTATAGGAAGAACCCTGGAGTACCCTGGAAAGAACCACCGACCCACGAGAAGCTATTGGAAAGCTTTTTCACCTACCCACATTGGACTGTATAACTAGTATATTTATAATTTCTACATACGGGCTACCATAAGCTTCACGCCAGTATCCGGTAGATGACATCATTTGGTTCACTCAGGTCTTATCCGTCATCTTGCTTTACATGGGTCTAATTTCATCATCATATAACTTCTCACAATCACAATGAATCTGTGAAAATCTTGGGAATACATTTCTAATGTCATTGGTCATTAATTCTTAGTTTTGAAACAAAACATAGCAAGCTGAAAAGATTTTATTCGTTATCAAAGTCAATGGTCTAAAAAGATAAAACAGTCAATCAACTACGCGAATAAGTCAAATAGCGATCTTTGATTAGCCGAATGGACACTCTGTTTACAATGTGTGAAATGTAAACATGCCTGATCTGTAATTTAGAAGTGATCATTAATTTAAATACTAATTCTGTGCCTTATACTTATATGTGACCCATCTGATATTTATTTTCGTTTGAAACCATAGTCCACCCACTTCTTAATTTTTGAATAATTTAATGAAAAAGCAATGGGCCACTGGACTTCAAAGTTAAATTTACAAGCCTGCGCAACTAACATCTTTATGATAAAAACTTGGATCACTGGTCATAAAATTTTTAAAAACAAAACCTGAGCACCTGCGCCAACATAAATGAATCTCGTCTAAAATCTTGTGATAAGAAATGCTGGCCATCTAACCAAAACCATCCATTTAAAATTCTGAGATAAGAAACGTAGACCTTAGATGATGTATTAACATTATAAGCAGAAAGCATAAGATAACGTATTTTGTTATAAACCAGTCAAGAATTTGTTACATTTTTCGTTAATCTATGATATTGTTCCTTGTAGAGTATTTCATCCTGATCACAATGGATTTCCATCCAGCCTTCCGTTTATTCCGTCTTTTGGGTCACATGACTCTCGAAAGTACATTATTATCTTTTATCTGAAAAATCTAATAATTATAGCACGTGGTTCCTAATGCGAAAAATAATGCTTGGAGATGTTGATTTGCAATAAACCGAACCTATATCTTGAATCTGCTGCTTTGTGTCAACCAAGACATGCAGTTATTACCAAAACTTCTTTCATTTGGTAGAACATGCTCGTGTGCTTCTTGTCCTTTATTTTCTATAAATAAGTGCTTTTATCTTTTCGCAAATATTCCTTTCGAAATCCTATATAATATCTTAAACCAACAAATCTTTATATTTTATATGTTTTCCATGCGTAATTGGCATAATTCATTGAGCTGTATATCTATTAAACTGCTTTAGGAAGGACATTACTGGGATTTCGTAGTTTAGGTTATGAGTTTGTATTTATTGTACTCCATTTTGTCAAGTATAAAAT